TATCCATACATATATTGTATATACATGTAATTTTAATTTTAAATATTTAATTTAATTTTAAATATCTTAAAAATGATTTTTAATATATATTATATACAATATATGTATGGATATATGTATATGTATATCCATACATATATTGTATATACATGTAATATATATGATATATATTACAAAAGTGGATAATGTGAAAGGAAAATATTAAATTGAAACTTTTAAATATATTTTAAATCTTCAAAATGAATATATTTATTTTCACCATGGGTACTAAAGATAATAATTTGAAATTATTCAATTGGCTATTGTTTTTAATTACTGATGAAATCAATTGATAACTATACTCCAGATACTTCTGTCTCTGGGTGGCATTAAATTATTTTAGAATATTGACCAGTGTTGCTTAGAGTAAATAAAGTTATTGCAGGAGTATTTTTCTCAATATTTATTTAAACAAATTCATTGAAAACTAAAGATATTTCATTGAATTACTTTTTAGAAAGCAAATAATTCAGTATTATATATTTAATATCCATTAGAAATAGTAATGTACCCATTTCTGAAATATTTCCATTGTTTTTGAGTGTATAATAAAATTTAAATTTGAAATTTCCGTAATTGAGAAGATAATGTGAAGGGCTAAACCATGGAAATAGCTTTATGGATTCAGATCTCAATTTTTTTTTAAAGTTTATTTATTTACTTTGAGAGGGAGAGAGCCTGCATGAGTTGGGGAGGGGCAGAGAGAGAGAATTCCAAGCAGGCTCCACACTGTCAGTGAGCCTTGGGGCTTGAACCATGAGATCTGGTATCGTGACCCAAGCTGAAATTAAGAGCTCAGACTACTGAGCCACCCAGGTGCCCCAGATCTCAATTTTTTAAATAAGCATTGATACCAGCTACATCAATGTTCAGCTCAGCCATATTAATCAGAAATTAATGTCTAAGAGACATATGTCCAGTATCTATTCCAATGACTAATAGCTAATTAACAGAAACTTACAGTTGTAAACAAGAAAATGTCAAAATTATTGGAAGGGCGAGCTATATTGTGTTTGTTTTTATCTACCAACCTTATTTTTTGTTAAAAAAAAATTTACAAGAGGCCACTTCCTATAGTACATAATCCTCCCAAAAAAGCACCTTTATTTTTCCAGTTAGATACATTAAACATAGAAAGAAGTAGAATATGATGTTTTAATTTGCCATTTAACCCAGTCTATAGAAATACCTAAAAAAATAACTTGCAATTATTGATTTTTACTCCATTCTAAATTATGATTACAAAAATCTGTGGCATTTATTTAAAAATTGTATCTTTAACACCACCTGAATTTCCAAAAGGAGACAGAAGATTTTGATTTTTCTGTATCCTTTCTAATGAAAAAACAATGTAGTAATCTCTAAAATCATTCCAGGTATTTATTGAAGTTGAAAATATGAAATATATAGTCATATAATCATTGAATAATTCTCTCAAATTCGAACACACACTTTGAGGTAGTTTTTAAAGTGTATTTATTTATACATTTGAAGCACAGCCTTTGCTTGTTTCAGTGCAAGATTGAATTTTATTTTTTTTCAACGTTTATTTATTTTTTTTGGGACAGAGAGAGACAGAGCATGAACGGGGGAGGGGCAGAGAGAGAGGGAGACACAGAATGAGAAACAGGCTCCAGGCTCCAAGCCATCAGCCCAGAGCCTGACGCGGGGCTCGAACTCATGGACCGCAAGATCGTGACCTGGCTGAAGTCGGACGCTTAACCGACTGCGCCACCCAGGCGCCCCAACAAGATTGAATTTTAAATAATAAGAGAGATCTATTGAAGACTGAAAGTTTTTGTATGGCATTTACATATGAAACTTTTCATTTGCAACTGGTAGCCAAGGTCCTTCCTCTAAAACCATTTACAATTTCTCAAGCTGATTATTTATCTTCTGTTTCTGAATCCCCTCATTGTATTCTTTCCTTGCTTTGCTTGTTTGTGACATGTTTAGTGAAGAGCACAGTAGCAAGAACTAGTTGAATGTCAAATGTGTACCGTTTTTGAAAGACACAAAATGAATCAAAAAAGGAAACAATAAAATGCTACAGTCTGGATAACATAAAGAAACATATTATGTTTTTAATCCTTTCACTCTCCTCCAATGGTAAATAAAAAGTCTTTACTATCCGTCCTTTGCTTCAGTGTAAATATAATTTACTTATAGCATCCTTTTACATTTGTCAAGGTCTTTAAAAATTTGACTATATTTAATCTCTAAAATTTCTGAAGGAAAGTTCAATATTTTTTTCTAATATTACTGCAAAAAATAAATATTAAGAAAGTATCTAAAACATATGAAAAGACTATGGGTATGTGTAAACTGAGCTATTTAACTCAACATTTAAAATTCATTAATCTGCTTAATTTAAATAACAAATGAAACACTTACTGAAAATTTTATGAACTAACACTTTAAAGAAATGTATAATGTCTTTATTTTTTATTTTTTTTTTTTTAACATTTATTTATTATTGAGAGACAGAGAGACACAGAGCATGAGCAGGGGAGGGGTAGAGAGAGGGGGAGACATAGAATCTGAAGTAGGCTCCAGGCTCTGAGCTGTCAGCACAGAGCCTGACGCAGGGCTCGAACTCACAAACTGCGAGATCATGGCCTGAGCCAAAGTCGGTCGGTCACTCAACCGACTGAGCCACCCAGGCGCCCCAAGAAATGTATAATGTCTTTAAATCACAAAATGTTCTTTGGAAGATTGTATTGATCGCTTCCTCATAATGTTTGCTATTTAAGAGTAAAATGTACTTTCAATATCCCTAATTACCTTTGAATATCAACTATTTAAAAATTTACCTGCATGTCTCTAAATTTACTAAGCATCTTCCAGTGTGTTAGGAACCATAAAAGGTGTTCCCAAGTTCAATTCACTACCTCAGTGAATAATTTTTTTTTCAATTTCCTTTAAACTACATAGTTTGATCTCAAAATGTGTAAGTTTTGCCAACAGGATTATCAGTGAATTCTCAATATTTTTGTTCTTTTTAATATCTTTATGATAAAATGAGGTCAGCTGAAGATTAAAAAGTGAGGATAAATGTGCTCCAAAATTATGTTCCAGTAAGGTTAATCTAAAGAAGCATTTGTTCCAATAAAAAAGCATCGTAGGGGCTCCTGGGTGGCTCAGTCAGTTAAGTGTCTGACTTTGGGTCAGGTCATGATTTCACAGCTCATAAGTTCGGGCCCCACATCAGGCTCTGTGCTGACAGCTCAGAGCCTGGAGTCTGCTTGGGACTCTGTGTCTCCCTCTCTCTCTGCCTCTCCTCCACTCACAGTCTGTCTCTCTCTCTGTCTCTCCAAAAATGAATAAAAACATTAAAAAAATTTTTAAAAAAGCATTGTAAAGACCAATTTGTTTACTCTTAAAAATGGCATTTCCTAGTCTTTCTACATGATTTTAGTGTCACTACATTGGAATTTGGTGAACAAATATGTGGTAATTCATTCATGTAATAATATCTTAAATAATTCACCTCTACCAGGTTGAAAAAGTTTGGTGCTACAAATAAGATAAGCATGTTTCACTAAGTGAAGAAATATTACTCATACTCTTTACTCCAAAATGCTTTTCAATGTGTTTTACCAACTACAGTTATATACTAGAGCTGTGTTTTTCAAATCTAGATGCACATTGGTACTACCTGGAAAAATTCTTTAAAATTCAGATCTTAAGGGACACCTGGGTGTCTCAGTCAGTGGAGTGTCTGACTTCAGCTCAGGTCATGGTTTGTGAGTTTGAGCCCCACATCCGGTTCTGTGTTGACAGCTCAGAGCCTGGAGCATGCTTCAGATTCTGTGTCTCCCTCTCTCTCTGCCCCTCCCCTGCTCATGCTCTGTCTATCTCACTCTCAAAAATAAATAAACATTATTTTTTTTTTTAATTCAGCTCTTAGGCTGTAGTACAAACCAATTAAATCAATACATTTATTAAAAATCTCCAGGTGATATACTGTGTAATTAAGAGCCAGTGACCTAAAACTGCACTGTGTAGTATGGTGCACATTAGCCACATGGGACTAATTTAAATTTAAATTATTAAAACTAAATAAAACTTAAAATTCCTTTCCTGAGTCACAGTAGCCATATTGTTCAACAGCCATATATGGCTAGCATATACCATTTTGGACAACTCAGAATTATAAAACATTTCTATCATTACAAAAAGTCTTATTGCACAGTGCTAATAAAGACTTGATATTCAAAGGATGGTTTGTGTTCCATTATCACCGGCCTCACATAAAAGTTGGTTTAATGTGGACATTAAATAAAGTTCACTTATACATATTCTAATTTGGTAATATTGGACTTAACTGATTTACCCTTATTTATTTATTTATTTATTTATTTATTTATTTTTAATGTTTATCTTTATTTTTGAGACAGAAAGGGACAGAGCATGAGCGGGGGAGAGGCAGAGAGAGAGGGAGACACAGACTCCGAAGCAGGCTCCAGGCTCTGAGCTGTCAGCGCAGAGCCCGACACCGGGCTCGAACTCGTCAACTGTGAGCTCCTGACCCGAGCAGAAGTCGGACGCTCAACCGACTGAGCCACCCAGGTGCCCCATGATTTACCCTATCTTTAATGCCTTAATTAATGACATCAAACTATACATTGTTTACTCATTTATACATTCACAACTATTTATTGCATACCAATTATTTGTTAGGCACTGCCACTATGAGCTAGGAAAGATAAAAATAACATTGTTCAGGATACCTTTTGGAATAGGATGAAAATTTAAAGCAATGATAAATGATACATTTGAAGAGAGAAAGAGAGAGACAGAGAGACAGAGAGAGACACACATAATAATTCTTTTTTTAAAATTTCTTTTAATGTTTATTTTTGAGAGAGAGAGAGAGAGAGAGGCCCCCTGAGCATGAGTCCGGGGGGGGTGGGCAGAGAGAGAGGAGACACAGAATCGGAAGCAGGCTCCAGGTTCTGAGCTGTCAGCACAGAGCCCAATGATGGGCTCAAACCCACATTGGGAGATCATGACCTGAGCCAAAGTCTGATGCCCAACCAACTGAGCCACCCAGGTGCCCTGAGACACATAATAATTCTAAGTGTCATAAAGGACCAAGTAAGTTACAGAGAACATTGGGTAAGAAATTGCTACCAGAAAAGGTCAGCAGGGAAGAACTCTGAAAGTAGGGAACATTAATCTAAAAGATAATAAAGAGTCAAAAAAGATAATTATGAACACCACTTACTCATAAGTAGGTTTCATTTGTGACCATCCATATAGATTGTGAACATCATAATGCAAAACGGATGATCCATCACTAAGAATCTGTTCAGTTTCCATACACATAGTTCTGAAATGTAATCCATTTGTTCTTTTTGTGATTTCTGGGGAGAACCAATGGGAAAATATTAATATATTATAAATTACCCTATATTTGAATGTCTAAATAATAACTATATATTCTTTTGGCAAAAATATTAACCATTGTTTTAAAATAATATTGTTTTCTAATCATTTGTACACTTTGTCTCTGCTAATTAAAGTGAAAAATAATCTGTGATTATAGCTGCACTTATACCTGTAACTGAAAAAATCTGTGAAAAAATTTACTGTATTCAGCAACACAAATATTAAGAATTAACATGAATTAATAAAACCCTGAAAGATAAGCATACTCCTAAATGCCTACAATATTTTATGCACTCAGATTATATTGATTAAATAGATTTTGATAAAAAATCCATTCAGTAACATGAAGCCCTGGGGTTAAGAACCAGGCAATGCAATAACAACATTATTCTTTGACACACTTTTTCTCAGCTAATGATGCATTTTTTCAGAGTTTTGCCATCACTTTAGATATCAAAAGTTTATGAGGTTTACTGACTACATAAGAGTATGAGGATGAATACTGAGCAACTGGATCCTTGTCTCCTGGGTCAGGGACAACCAAAGAAGTACTGTTAGTATTGTTTCATTTTTTCCTAATAAAGAAAAATTTAGAAATAAGTCTTTTAAAAGTGTTTTTTTTTTTAATCTTGAGGAATACTGACAATTTTCAAATCTGGGAAGGTTCTTAAGAAAATCAAAGTAACAATTTCAAACATGCATAAGAATATGTACATATAAATAAAATATGTTCCTTGATTTTTCTTTTCAAAATAATGTTAAATAGTATTGGGAATGGGTTGAGGTGTGATGTGAGTCAATGTGTAGATGGGTAGTGTGAATTGGGAATGTGAATCCAGTTCCCTACATCATAAAGTATATAAACCCGATTAATAAATAGCAATAACATCAAAAGTGTAGCAACAAAATTGTACCTGGGACATAAGGTGGATAATTTAACTCTTTATTTCTGCATTGATTAGTAACTGTTCCGTGTACAAAACTGGATGGTTCATTCATATCCTAAAAAAAGAGATAAAAGTAAACAAAAAATAAAGTAGAGCATATATTCTTAAAGGAACTAATTCAGAAAACCAATAAATTAAAGCAGCATATTTGAGTAACGGCACATTTACCGTTCTAAAGCAAAAATATAAGACATCTCAATACTAAAGAGTTAGTTTAGCTCAGTGTTTCTTTTTTACATTTCATGACTCCTTTGTAAAACATAAAATGGCCTACTCTTCTCTGTACATATAATACACATAAAAAAGTGAATTGTTTTCTAGACATAAAATTATAGTAGTGTATATTCTCCCATGTCCTCTCCTCTCCTGCCCCAGTGCCTTCTATCGCTTTTGAAAAACAAAACAAAACAAAACAAAACAAAACAAAACAAAACAATGGTTTGTGGCTTTAAAACCACAGAGTATAGTTTATGCACACAGGAACGTTATTTGTTTGTTTGTTTGTTTGTTTATTTATTTATTTATGTTTCAAGTATAGAATTTAGTGATTCGTGACTTACATACGACACCCAGTGCTCATCACAAACAGTGCCCTTCCTATAACCCATCACCTATCACCTATCCCCTAGCCGGCCTCCTCTTCAACAACTCTCCATTTGTTCTCATAGTTAAGAGTATATTTCATTGTTTTCTTCTCTCTCAATCTTTTCCCCACTATGTTCAATTAGATGGAGTTTTATGTACAGTGATATAGGTGTTTTGCATATTATTTCTGCTCTAGTCTTTATTATTTTTCTTCTGGTGGCCTTCGGCTTCATTTGTTCTTCTTTTTCTAGTTCCTTCAGGTGTAAGGTTAGGCCATTTTTATGATTTTTCTTGCTTCTTGAGGTAGGCATTTATTGCTATATTCTTCCTTCTTATGACCATTTTTGCTGCACCCCAAAGGTTTTGGACTGTCATGTTTTCATTTTCATTTGTTTCCATGTTTTTTTTAAATTTCTTATTTAATTTCCTGGTTGGTCCATTCGTTATTTAGTTGGATGTTCTTTATCCTCCATGTACTTGTGGTCTTTCCAAATTTTTTCTTGTGGTTAACTTCAGGTTTCTTAGCGTTGTGGTCTAAAAATATGCAGGGTACAATCTCGATCTTTTTGTACTCGTTGAGGCCTGATTTGTAACCTACTATGTGATCTATTCTGGAGAATGTTCCATGGATACTCAAAAAGAATGTGTATTTTGCTGATTTAGGATGAAAAGTTCTGAATGTATCTGTTAAGTTCATCTGGTACAGTGTGTCATTAAAAGCCATTGTTCCCTTTTAGATTTGCTGCTTAGATGATCTGTCCATTGTTGTTAGTGGGGTATTAAAGTCCCCTACTATTACTGTATTGTTATCAATGAGTTTCCTCATGTTTGTTATTAATTGATTTACATATTAGGATACTTCAAGATGGGGGCATAAATATTTAAAATTGCTAGATTTTCTTGATGGATAGACCACTTTATTATGATATGGTGCCCTTCTTCATCTCTTTTTACAGTCTTTGTTTTAAAATCTAGTTTGTCTGATGTAAGTATGGTTACTCTGGCTTTCTTTTAACATCCATTAGTATGTTAGATGGTTCTCCATCCCTTCACTTTCAATCTTCAGGTGTTTTTAGGTCTAAACTTAATCTCTTGTAGGCAGCAATATAGATGGGTCTTGGTTTTGTGTCCATTCTGATACCCTATGTCTTTTCATTGGAATATTTAGTCCATTTATATTCAGAGTGATTATTGATAGACATGAATTTAGTGCCATTGCATTACCTGTAAAGTTGTTGTTTCTGGAGATTTCTCTGTTCCTCTTTAGTCTTTGTGCTTTTGGTCTTTCTTTCCCATTCAGTATCCTTTAATATTTCTTTAAGGGCTTGTTTAGTGGTCACCAACTCCTTTAGTTTTTGTTTTTTCCTGGGAAACTCTCTCTTTCCTCCTATTCTGAATGATAGCCTTGCTGGATAGAGTATTCTTGGTTGCATATTTTTTTTTCATTATGTATAGTAAATATATCATGCCAATCTCTTCTGGCCTGCCTATTTTCTGTGGAGATATCTGCTAACCTTATTTGTCTTCCCTTTAAGTTAGGGACTTCTTTTGTCTTGCTGCTTTTAGTATTTTTTTTTCTTATCTCTATATTTTGTAAATTTAACTACAATGTGTCTGAAGTTGGCCAGCTTTTGTTGATTTTGATGGGAATTCTCTGTGCCTCCTCAATTTATGTCTTTTCCTTCCCCAGATCAGCTATACTGTCTCAAATAAATGTGCCCCTTTTCTCTCTCTCCTTCTGAGATTCTTATAATACAAATTTATCATAAGATATGTGATTAATGGAGTCACTGAGTTCCCTAAGTTTACTTTTATGATCCAAGATTTTTCTTTTCCTCTTTTGTTCAGCTTCATTATTTTCCTATAATTCTATCATCTATATCACTTATTCATTCTTCTGCTTCTTTCTTCCTTTTAGTCATTATATGCAGTTGGTTTTGAATCTTGTTTATTGTATTATTCATGTCAGCCCGATTAATGTTAAACTCTGTTATTTCTGTGGGAGGGTACCCCTGATGTCTTCTATGCTCAAGCCCAGCTTATGATTGTTGCTTCAAATTCTGGATCAGGCATATTACTTATATCTGTTTTGCTTAGATCCCTGGCTGTGTCTTTTTCTTGTTCTTTCTTTTGGGATGGATCCTTCATCTTGGCGTTTTGCATAAATCTCTGTTTTCTTCTTTGTAGGACAGCCTGTTATATTTCTTGCTCCTGAGAGTAATGGCTTTATGAAGAAGAGGTTATACAATGTCCAGGTCCTGGAACTTCCTGAAGTGTCTCCAGTGTGTTCTACTAGCCCTCTGCTGCTGTGTTATGGCTGCTGTATCCCTCAGGTCAACCCTCTGCAGAGTTCTTGCCTGCAGTGGGGAGTGTTTGGACCTTGCCCAGAGTATGGTGAGTTTTAATTAGCTGTGCTCTGATATGCTTGTTAGAAGAAACCTTATGCTATTTCCACTAGAACTGAAGATTTGCAGAACTCAATGGCTAGGATACATGATACGTGTGGGGGTTTGTGTTGGTCTTCTTGAGGAGGGCCCTGAAGCACTGGTTCTTAGGTGCACTTGCCCTAGGAAAGCAGTATCATTAGAGTGTAGAGGGGGTGGAATTTGGTAAGGGGTACAGCCTGCCACTGTTGGCACTGTGCTGCATACTGAAGTTAATTCATTTTGAGGGGAAAGGTAGAGAAATGGTGCCACCAGCTACTTTGTCCTTGAAGAGGGGAGTTCATGCTTGCTGCTGTCAGGGAAGCCCTCTCAAAAGGGCAAATAATTTCCCCTCATGCATTCCAGGAATATTTCAGGTTGCTCTTTTCACACTGTCTGTGTCTGGTTGATTGCTTGCCTGGAGAAGTGTAGTGCATTTGGGGCTCTATTCCAGCCACACCAGCTGAGTTTTAAAACTTTAGGGATCTGGTGTGGTGTGGACCTGCTCTGGTCTTCAGGGGGAGGGTCTCGCCATGCTGGGGTTAATGCAGGTTTGACCCAGAAGGGCAGTCACACCAGAGTGTAGGATCATGGGATTTAGAACAAAGCATACTAAACAGCTAGCGTCCAGGTCAGTTGCCCTCAGAAGGTGTCTGAATCTATGTTAAGGAGTGGGAGAAAGAAACATTGCCCACCAGTTCTTTTATTCCCAGATAAGTAATGCCATCTTTCTCAAATGTGCTTCATAAAAAAGGGAACAGTCTTTCCCAGTGCATTTTAGGCAATTCTCAGATCACACCATCTTATCTACCTGCCTTCTCTCCAGGAGTAGGGCAAGGCCCTCAGGGATCTATCCCAGCCACACCATGGACCTCAAGAGTTCCAATCGTTGAGCCCCACTGGTTGCAAATCTCATAAAAATTAGCCCCTCTCATTTTTCTAGTCAATGGTTTGGGGAAGTGTTTTCCTTGTGCAATTCCCTGTGCACTCCTCTCTCTCTTGCCTTTCTCCATGACCAGGAATCTCTCTTCTCCACCACACCTATAATCCTTTTATCTCCCTAACCACGACTTTGTAACTCCTACTTTCCATAATGTGGCCACTTCTCTACCTCCACTTGTGCAGTTTGCTCTGTCAGTCCTCAGATTGATTTCTTGGGTTTTCAGAATGATTTGATATTTATCTAGCTGTGTTCAAGGTATGAGGCAAGTCTAGGATCCTCCTACCACTCCATCTTACTTCCCTGCTCTCTTACTATCAACATTTTAAATTTACACCTAAAATTAGCAGATTGTTTGAAAGATAATTTTTGATAAATTTGTAAGAGATTATGATTTTTTGTACCAAAGATGGACAGTTGTGTGAGATTTATTACTACACTGAATAAAAATAAAATAAATGTTTATAAACATTTGTGAATAGTTAGAAAGAGTTTATTTGATTCATTGGTGTAAGTAAAAATGTTCAGGAAATAGCATCTATATACATAAACTGTTAACACTGTATTTTAACTGTCTTTTATATATGGAAAGGACTTTCTTTTCTATGGAAAAATGAGTGGGCTAATTTTTTTAAGTTTATTTATTTTGAAAGAGAGAGAGAGAGAGAGAGCGAGAGAGAGAGAAAACACGAGCAATGGATGGGCAGAGAAGGAGAGAGAGAATCCCAAGCAGGCTCCATGCAATTAGCATGGAGCCTGATGTGGGGCTTGAAATCACAAACTAAGATCGTGACCTGAACTGAAACCAAGAGTCAGACATTTAACTAAACAGAGCCACCCAGGTGCCCCAAAGTTTTATTTTTTTTAATGTTTATTTATTTATTTTTGAGAAAGAAGGAGGGAGAGAGAAAGAGACAGAGGGAGAGACAGAGAGCATAGAGGAAAGGCAGAGACAGAAGGGAAGAAAGAATCCCAAGAAGACTCCATGCTGTCAGCACAGAGCATGGCTCAGGGCTCAAACTCACAAACTGTGAGATAATGCCATGAGTCAAAATCAAGAGTCAGACACTTAACCAACTGAGTCACCCAGGCTGAATGGGCTGAGTTTTATAAAAAAATGCTTTGCTGATGTTATTGGAATCGAGTAATAATTTTGTTGAATCACTACACAATAAATTAAAACAATAACAACTTAAAATATAAATTGCTCAAAGTTTACTTACAATCCACAAGCCATCAAACTTCATCTGGTTATTGTAGAAATCTATAATTTCCTTTGCCCACCACTCTGCTGTGGAATTCCTGAAAAAATCTGGAAAAGCTACATGAGCTCTGGAAACCTGTAAAAACAAAATTCAGGCCTATATGTAGGAAGTCAAAAGAGAGACCATGAGTGTCTAAGTCCAACATTTATCTGTCTGATTCACAAGTTGTGCACAAATGATAATGAAGGCAACCTGATCCTAACTTTAATTACATTAACATATATTATTTCCCTCTACCACCCCAACAACAAAGAGTAAAAGAGAGAGAGAGAGATACATGGAGTGAGAAGGGAATAGCACTGGGGTCCTTATGGGGTCCTTTTTTTGAACTGTCAAAAAAAAAGTTCACAACATAGAAATATATTTTCAGTGTTTCTTACAGTTTTAGGAAATTTTTTCTTTGTGTCCTTAGAGACCTATACTGCATATTTACTTTTTTGGAGCATGATAGGTAAGAAAAAGGCTTTTGTTTAGCCCGTTTATCTGATAAAATTTTGTTTACCCAGATTTCTGTCCTTCTAGGACCAGTAATATATAGCTTCACTACCCCAACTGTTTGTCTTTCTCTCTCATATCTAATCGTTCCGACCTAACCAGAAAAGAGGTGATTTACTCCTTTCCCTACCAAGAACATTCCCTACTTGTCAGCCTACCCATATAAATTCCGAGGTCAAAGTCTGTGCTAGCTGAGGACTGACCTTCTGCAAGTAAACCAATTTCCTGAAAAACATGGCATCACCTGCATGCTTTCCTGCCACACTTTAATAGTATGTAGTAACTGCCAGGATAGTCTTCTCTATGAATAGGGTATGGGATGGCACTGTGCATAGAGAAAATGCAAAGGGTAGGGAATATAAGGATTTATAAAACACACATATATATCATAGATACTTTTAGGACTGAAGGGAAATTCATTATATCATTATGATCAATAATTACTTTTACTCATAAGGAAAGAAGGCTCAGTAGGTATAGTCAACAAATATTTTTTATGTTAGGTCCCTAGAGTATAATGAAAAATAAGTAAGAAATTAATGTCATGTTTTGTTTAAGATCTATTTTGCTCTTTCCACAATTTATTCATTTTTCTGTTTGCTTTATTCTTTTAGGTGGCTGCTTTCATTCTTTTAATGCAAATCATTAATTACATATAGAAATTTCATCGGTTATATGTGATCCAAGATTCTCTGTACTTTTTGTGTTAGATTATGCCAGTGATTATACATAAACCGTTGTAAATTGAAGGGATTCCTACCCCCCAAATCTATATATAGAAGCCATGCCTTCCTATCTACTGTTGCTAATATTACCCAAGGTAATACCTGCAATTGAGACTCTGATTTTTTTCCTAAAGAATATTGTTTAGTAATTCTTTGGCTCAACTCTAGAAATAATCTGGTAAGTTTTAATGTAAGAATCCTCCTCTAATTTTTCACACATGAACTTGTATGACTTAATGATTATAATTTAGCCTACCTAAAATATTGACTGCTCTTAGTGTCACTGATTTTTTCCTGTTGCCTTGATATGGTTTATTTCATTTATTTCTGCTCTAATTTGTTATTATTTACTTTCTTCTGCTAGTTTTAGGCTTAATTTGTTCTCTTCATAGTTCCTGGAGGTATAAAATTAGGTTATTTATTTGATATCCTTCTTCTTTTATAATGTTGGTGTTTATCATTATAAACATCTCTCTTAGTACTATTTTTGCTGCATCCCATAAGTTTTAGTGTGTTGGATATTCATTTTTGTTTGCCTCAAAATATTTTCTAATTTCTCTTTTGATTTCTTCTTTGACCCACTCATTATTCAAAAGTGTGTTGTTCAATTTGCACATATTTGTGAATTTTCTAATTTTCCTTTTGATATTGATTTTAGTTTCATTTCACCGTGGCCAAAAAACAAACTTGTTATGATTTCAACAGTTTTAAATTTGTTAAGATTTGTTTTGCAATTTAACATGGGATATATCCTGGCCAACATTCTATGTGCTACTGGATAGAATGTTCTGCTACAGTTGGGTAGAAGGTTCCGTAAGTGTCTGTTAAGTCCATATGGTCTATATATAGTGTTGTTTTTAAGCTCACTGTTTCTTTGTTGATTTTCTGTCTGCTTGTTCTATCCATTATTGAAGGAGAAGTATTAAAGTCTCCTACTGTTATTGTATTACTGTGTACTTTTCCCTCAGTTCTGTCAATGTTGGTTTACATAGTCATCTGCTCTGATGTTGGGTGCATATATATTTATAATTGTCATATCTTCTTGATGAATTGAACCTGTTATAACTAATACTGTCTTTTTGGTATCCCGTGAAAGTTTTTGACTTAAAGTGTATTTTTTTCTGATATAAGTATAGCCACCCTTGCTCTCTTTTGGTTGCCATTTATATAGAGTATCTTTTTTCATATCCTTTCATATCCCTATGTGTGTCCTTAAATCTAAACTACGTTTTTTGTAGACAGCACATACAAAATTGACAAATTGTTATCTAGACTAAGAAAAAAAAGAGAGAAAAGTCAAATAAGTAAAATCAGATATGGAAGATCAAACATTATAACTGATACTATAGAAACACAGCAACAAACAGGATAACATAGAAAAAATTGGATAAATTCCTAGAATCCTACAACCTAGTAAAACTGAATCATGATGAAACAGAAATCTGAAAAGACCAATTACCTATAAGGAGATTGAATCAGTAGTAAAAAAAAACCTCCTAAAAAAAGGAGTACAGGACCAAATGACTACACTAGAGAAGTGGATCAAACATTTCAGGAAGAATTAATGCCAATCCTTCCAAATTTATCCCCAAAAAACTGAAGTGGAGAGAATACTTCCAAATTCATTTTAAAAGGTCCACATAACCTCATAAAAAAGTCAAATATACCACAAGAAAAAGAAAAACTACACAATAATACCCCTCATGAATACAGATGCAAACATCCCCAATAAAATACTACAGAACTACATGCAGCAGTATATTTTAAAAAGTGATACACCATGAAAAAGTGGAATTTATCCCAGTTATATAAGGATAGTTCAATATATGAAAATCAATTAATGTGGTATACCACATTAACACAAAGAGGATAAAAAAATCACATGAACAAACAATGCAGAAAAAGTTGGCAAAAGTCAACACCCTTTCATGATAAAAACTCTAAAAAAACTAAGAATAGAATAAAATATCTCAACATAATAAAGATCATATATTAAACATACCCAGCTAATATCATGCTCATTCAAAAAGACCTGAGTTTTTCACACAGGTGTGCGCACACACACACATAACACACACACAGAACTAATAAACAAATAAAGTTGCCAGATGTAAAATCAACATGGAAAAATCAGTTGCATTGTATACACTAACAATTAACTATCAGAAAAGATAATTGGGAAAATAATCCAATTTACAACAGCAATAAAATGAATAAAACACTTAGGAATAAAATTAACTAAGGAGGTGGAACACTTGTGCATTGAAAACTACAACACATTGGTGAAAGATATTGAAGAAGACACAAACAAACAGAAATAAATCCCATGTTCATGGATTGGAAGAATTAATATTGTGAAAATGTCTGTACTACCCAAAGCAATCTATAGATTCAATGCAATCTATATCAAAATACCAATGACACCTTCCATAGAAATAGAAAAAAAAATTCTACAATTCATTTGGAAATACAAATACCCTGAATAGCCAAAATAATCTTGATAAAGTAGAACAAAACTGGAGGCATCACATTTCCTGAGTTCAAAATATACTCCAAACCCACAGTAATTAAAATAGAATGATACCAGCACAATAGACACACGGGCTAATGGCACAGAACAGAGAGTATAGAAATCAATCCATACATATATAGTAAACTGATCACTGACAAGAATGCCAAAAGTGTGAAGAAAGGACAGTCTCTTCAACAAATGGTGCTGGGAAAACTGGATATACACATATGCAAAAGAATGAAATTGGACCCTTATCTTATAAAATCAGCACAAAATGGAGTAAAGACTTAAATGTAACACATGAAACTGAGAAACTTCTAATAGAAAACAAAGGGAAAAAGTTTCATGACATTGGCCATAGCAAAGATATTATGGATATGATGTCAAAAATACAGGCAACAAAAGCAAAAGTAAACACATGAATACATCAAACCAAAAAGTTTTTGCACAGCAAAGGAACCACAAAGTGAAAAGGCAACGTTCAGAATGAGAGAAAATATTTAAATGCTATATATCAGATAAAGTGTGAATCTCCAAAGTATATAAGAAATCCTATGACTCAATAGGAAAAAAAAAAAAAGAAAAGAAAAAGGAAAAGAAAAAAAGTAACCCAAACAACTTCTTAAAAAATGGGCAAAGGCTTGAATACACATTTCTCTAAAGAACACATGCAAATGGCCAACAGGTAGATGGAAAGATACTCAAATTCACTTATCCTCAAGGAAATATAAAAGCTATAATGAGATATCACCTCACACATGTTAGAATGGCTATTATTCAAAAAACAAAGACAACAAGTTTGGGAAAGGATATGGAGAAACTGGAATCCTTGTGCACTACTGGTAGGAATGCAAAGTGGTACAGCCACTAAGGAAAACAGTATGGAGATTCCTCAAAAAATTAAAAATAGAACTACCATATGATTTAAATATGGTCTTGTACAGAGAATTTAAAAACAATCAATCTTCTTTTTTAAAGAAAATACTCAAATTGAATTATTGGTCAAATTGATCATTAAATCCAAGTGCTTTTACTTATGTACTCAACCATTGTAAAACTTACATTAACAGCTTCATCTTCAGTTAGATTTTCGTCTATTGTTACATTGGGCAAATCTGGCCAAACCTACAGAGAAGGAAGAAATGGGAAAATAGTTCAAAATAAATTCAGTATGGTATGACCATGCTGTAAATAAAGTATAATAGAGTTCTGGAGGCATATTGTATACTCAAGTTCCCCAATTCAGTAATTCCTTTAATTGTTTTTTTCAGTTTGTGTTTTGGAAATGTATTATTTGCAAACTATTCCTAACTGCTATATTAATTTCCTCTTTAATATGGCAAATAGGAAAAAGAATACCCACCTTTGTAAAAGGTAGTGGTTTTAAAAACAATGCATATGAAACATCAAAAAAAAATTTAAAAAAGGGGGACACCTGGGTGGCTCAGCAGGTTAAGCATCCGACTTTGGCTCAGGTCAGGATCTCACAGTTCATGGGTTTGAATCCCGCGTCAGACTCTGTGCTGACAGCTCAGAGCCTGGAGCCTGCTTCGGATTCTGTGTCTCCCCCTCACTCTTTGCCCCTCCCCCTTCACACTCTGTCTCTCTCATTCTCTCTCAAAAATAGATAAACATTAAACATTTTTTTTAAATAAAAACAATGCATATAACCAAAGGTTCTAGTCAAGAAATAATATAAAGGCATATACTAAATTCAATTTAATGTATATTAAAACTGTTTCTACAATTATTCCAGTATTACATATAAATATATTTTTATTTAAAAGGAATTGAAGAACTAATGGATAATGCCATGTTGAGGCAAGTATCTTCTTAGTTTTCACAGTTAGTACTATATCCTCTTCTCTCTCTCCCCTTCCAAACCCTTACCCCCATCCCTGCTTCACCATCTACCAATGTTTTCCTCTACCCCAACCACAAACACACAAAACAGAGTCCAAATTTAATCATGCTGAAAGCTCTCTTTCTCTTTCAGAAAGTCTCATTTAAAAAAATATAGATAATCCCCAAGGACTAATTACCTACAAGGGATTAGTTACTGATAGTGAGTAGTTCTTTTAAGGAATGGAACAGAAGATAGAAATCTGAGAAAATGTATAGACATATAAACTGAGAAGAAGGTAGGAAGGAAAAAACCCGTTTCTATGGCTAATCTGCTATACTCTATACTTGTATGTTTCTTAAAATGTTATGACTTCTCATTAAGTTTATCGTAGGATTTTTCTATTTTATCTCATTATTTTGAAATATTTTCAGATTTACAGAAAAGCTGCAAAAATTATACCCAGAGTTTTTCTATATCCTCACTTTGTTTCTCCTAATGTTAACATATTTATAACCTCTGTACAATCATCAAAACCTAGAAATCTACAGGCCATGTTGGAATTTCAGCACTTCTTTCACTAATGTGATATTTTTGGTCCAAGAGAGAAAAGAATTCCATACTGCATTTCATTATGTCCCATATTATGGAATTTTGTTTGTATTTTTCCTTTTCATTTTAGTTATGATGAATGGATTTTTGTTTACTCTTTTATATATAAGTCAATCAGGATTTTTCTATAATATATTAATATACCCAGGTCTGAATATTATTGTTTAAGTGAAATACAGTAAATTATATTCCTTAGTCAAGTCAGGAATATAAGTATAGCTTTTAAAAACATTGCCTCTTTTATTAATGAAAGAAGTACAAACATTTAAATGACTTGCAGTGTAGAATAATGAACAACCATCTTCTTAATAATTTTATAATAAAACACAAGGCATTCTAAGAAATGCAATAAAAGACAATATAAAGATGAAACAAATAGTATTTAGATATATGAGCAATATAAATTCTTTCTGTTTCTAATAATTTGGGTCGAACTTAGAGTACATATTACTTTAATTATTAGCTACTAAATCATTACATTCTGTAGTATATATCTCTCCTTCTGAATAAGTCTTTAACAGTTTTCTCTACTCAATAGAAATTTTCAATGAAATAACAGTTTTATACTTATTTTATTTCAAGATATCAATTCCATACCTTTGCCCAACAAATATCATTGGTGTTAGGCCATTTGACAAAAACATCTTTCTCCTGTCCTCTGTCAAATGCAGGGTAAGGCTTTGTTTCATTTCCCGAAATGGCTGGATCCTAATATTAAAATGAAATACAAACCAGGTAACTCTGGAATAAAAGTACAGCCACTTGGGTCACTGTTATGAGACACAATTTTCCATGATTACATTATCATTTACTGTGCTCTCACATATACTGATTGACAGACTGACAGTATAAACTGCAGTGTTCCAGCTAGTTCTAAATTCCTTAGAAGGAAACTTTAAGGACTTTTGAAAATGTATTGGCTATGATTTCAAGAAATATTACTAGCATTTTTTGTTTTGTTTTTATTCCTCCCAGTGGGTTTACTGGCTGCCTAGCTTGCTTCCTGTAAGATATTGATAAAATATTCTCCCCACTGAATCACTAACTTGAAGCCAAATTTTTAAACATGACAAGCATAAGAAGCAATCCCAGAGAATGATTTTAGAATTGTATAGAAATAGAAAATCCATCACAACTTTGTGATAGCTTCTATAAATTGAGGCCAGTTTGTAGCTTCAATGATTATTAGAAGACAGCTTGCCTTTGACTTCCAGATTCAGTCTTAGATCTCTAAGGATATACCAAAATGTGAAGATAGCCTGGTAGCAGCCCATGTAAATAAAAGTGTTAAAGGAAGAAAATATTAGATGTGGGAGTAGAGTTTAAAGTAATTGTCTTTCTATTTTGAAACACCCCCCACAACATCATTCCAGAAGAGAAATCTTAATAATATCAAGATAATAAGACCCAGATAAAATATAAAACATAAACTAACCAGGATAATAATGTATCTCATTCCCTCCTGTCTTATTTTGTCAACAAACTCAGGAAGATCACGGAAGTTTTCATCAATTGTAAAGTCTAGTTGTCTTTCCATGTAATCAATGTCTGTGTATTGAACATCCTAAAACATATGAAGATAGTGGTAGTGCAGTAAGAATCACAGGAATCAATGCATCACTTTCTATCATAGTTATAAAACTAATACCAATATGAAAGTTTAAATGCCTTTTCATGTAATACTAAAGAGAATTAATCAAGTAACACAAATAAAACTACTGTATTAAAGGTGCAAAATATTCCATGAATAAGTTTATATAAATGTTCTGTTTTGTTAACAATTCATTTAACAACTTTGATTTCTAAAGAGTCTTTCACCTGAAAGACATATCCTTAGTTATGTAATTTTCAAAGAAAATAGAAAGACACAAGAGTAAAAGATTTATGAGGCTATGAAATTGTGTTAAGTGGCAGTTTGGAATTTTGTGCATTATATACAGAAAAAAGCATTGTTCCCTTTCTGGAAGCATAAAGCAAATAGGGGATAATTTCAAATAATTTTCATATTGCCAAAGGAGAAGAAATAATTATTTATTAAATCCGTCAATTATAGGATTCTTTTATTATCTATCAAAATAATTTTTAGAATTATAGCCCAATCATAAATAAACAAAACACTGCTTACAAATACATATGTACAAACATGTTTAAACTAATAAATGCTTGGATTCTATCATGATATCTTCACTTTAGACCTAAAATAACAAATTTGTCAATTATTTTCTGTTACTAGTCATTAATTCAATTTCTTCTTCTAGGTGTTATAAAAAGTATGGCTGATATAGTACACAAAATAATGGAAAACCTCCCTTTTTATAAAAAAATCTCCATGTGCATATTTTTATATCATCTACCTATACATTAAATTTCCTCGTAATAATGTATTCAGGAGCCATATACTTGATTCTACTGCATGTACCAATGTCTTATAATGAGACTTTTTCATTTTTCTTAGATTAAGTTCTTATATACCAAGTATTCTAGATGTCACTGTTGAAGTGCTCCCAGAAGGACCCCCTAGGATTCCTTAATCTTGCTAAAAAATAAAATCACAGGGAGTATTATTTCTAGATACTCAGTAATATTTAGTTTCCTGAATATTGAGGGAAGAGGATATTTTGCAAGTGTTCAAATTCTAAGTTCCAGCATCACAACTATCACCTATTGCAGGGCAAAAATCACTCAGTTTTATCTCCACTTTCTTCTCTGTAATTTGTCACATCAGTTGATGAAGTAAGTTTCTGTGAACTCTTATTCTCATATAAAGAAAATATGGGGAATACACCTGATTACTTATGGCACCCAAAGTTTATTGGAGAAAACCAAGTGCACAGTCACTTGTTTAGTACAACTCACAATCATGGAACTAGAAAGAAGGGGGGGGGAAAGGAATGTTATTATCCCTTTTCCTTCATCAATCTAATAAAACACATTTTGTAAAAATCTCATGACCAATTCATTAGGTACTATGAAAAACTAAGCATTTATTATTGACAAATGCTTAAAATAATTTTATTTATTTATTTATTTATTTATTTATTTATTTATTTATTTATTTTAAAAATAATTTTAAAGTATACATATTTATTTGTTTGCTTTTATAGATGACACACTTAACATTATTTTAAAAACTGATATACATACATAAGGGATCTGAGCGGCCACCATATCGTTATATACTTGCTGAACCTCTGAAGTATTTCTGTACCCATAACGACATAATTGAAATCCCAAAGCCCAGTAAGGTGGCATGACTGGTCGGCCAATTACCTTTGGGGAAAAAAACAACAACGTTATTTGTGAACTAAGAGGGTTACGATATATCACAGAGAAAACTT